CGGGGACTCACCTACACTGAATATAGAAGGAGTAAACACACAGATGCCCAAGGGAACAAGGACTTTGCCCACACTACATATATACATGTAACTACTCCACTGCATTATTAAAAAATGGGGGTTGCTCTTGAGGTGTGAGGGTTAAGCCATTGCCAGCCATGCTGGCTTCCTAAATGGGCAGTGGTTCGAGTCCTAGCTGTTCTGCTTCAGATCCACCTCCCTGCTAATGTGCCTGGGAAAGCAGCAGAAGCTGGCCCGAGTCCTTAAATGCCTGCACCGACATGGGAGACCTGGAAGAAACTTTGGCTCCTGGTTCTAGCCTGCTCCAGCCATGGCTGTTGAGGCCACTTGGGAGAGTGAACCAGTGGCTGAAAGATCTCTCTCTCTCTCTCTCTCTCTTTATCTTTCTCTCTGTAACTGTGCCTTTCTAAAATAAATCTTTTTTTAATTGTACAAGTTTAGAGCTGAACAGCAGAGATAACCTTCCAAGGTGAGTGCTTTACGTTGTCAGCATGACAAAGCACTGGGATGTAGAGAGAAGAAAACACGCAGGAATGTTCCAGGTGGTCTCAATTGCAACAGCAAGAGTTACACAAAGAGAAAATAGTGGAAGATGAAAGGAAAAAAAAAAAAATCACAAGAGACTCTACCAGCACGGAACCTAAGCATCCAAAAGATTGAACGAAAGCATGCCTACATCAAGGCACCCTGATAACATTTCAAAACACCAGTGGTAAATAAGCCATACAAACAGGTTCCAGAGAGAGAGAGATAAAGGAATGACAAAGATACTTTCAGCAAGGAAGGACACCCAGGGGCAGTGGGTGAAGAGTCCACACTGAAGTCCTGATTTCTAAACACCATCTCCCAGGCAAAGGAAGTGGGGAGGACCCCGACCCCTCCAAGATTAGGATAGGGCAAACAGGGGGCCTGTAGCCTTCTCTGAATCAACAGGCTTGGACCAACTCGGAAGAGATCTTAGCCTCAAAAATTGTGCCCCGTAGCAGAGACTTGCTCTCCCACGCTATCCCATCCTTCTAGAACCAGGCCAGAGCAGGGGTTTCAGAAAACCCAGTTTGGTCAGGTCAACTCCATCCATCTATTCTTTTATTTATCAGAAGGCCACCCCCCACTCCTTTACTGTGAACTCCAAAGGCTTTTCAGTTAAGCTGGTACCATGGAGATGCTGGGTCAACAGTGTCCGGGTGGCCTGTCACGGGCCTCTGTGTCCACTCATCTGTGGTTCACCTTGAACTGAGGAACACTGAGCTATGTGGCTGCAGGTGGGGGAGGGGTGTCTCAGAGGCTCAGTGCTCCTCCACTCCTCCCTCTCCCACCCCCCAGATCCCCACCAGCCAGGGGATATTAGGCTCCCACCACAGGGGCTCTTACTAATCCTTTTCCTCATTAGGTGTGGTCACTGGCGTATGAACAGGGTAATGAGTGGTGTCGGTCAAGGCCCTTTCTAACTTCCTACAAGAAGACTGAAAACCAGACTCCCAAACTGAAGATACTTCAAGCCCTGGGCTTGAGGTTCTGCTGCCAGAAGCACGCACGTGGTTTGTGAGGTTTCCCTACTTGACTCCAACACAGCTCCACTGGCCCAGGTCCTAGCCTGTTGCTTCTCTCTCTTAATGAGAGCCAAGAAAAGAGAACAATCCAGCATTCTGTGAATCGCCTGGGGGTACTGACAACAACAAGGACTGTTCTTTGCTGGCTTCCTGGATTTCTCCCCACACACCTGCACTACAAGAGCTGGAGGGTCCTGCAACCTAGTGTGCAGAGCTAGAGCTAAAAGGATGTCTTTTTTTTCCCCTTGCAGTTTAACAAAAGCAATACAGGCTGATTATAGTCTGGGCAGGGATATCATCTTTTCCTTAGAGAAGCCTCAGTTCCCACGGAAGAAAATGGTTGACATGGCCCTTCCCCGGGGGGAGCAGACACGCACATGAGAAAACCACGGGCACAGCTCTGCCGGCTCCCTCCCTGGCGGGCCACCACAGAGAAAACCCAGTTTATTTTGGCAACTGATGGAAAAACAGCCTGTGTGTGTCTGTGTACTGAACTGGGTTTGGAAGGGAAATGAGGACTGGGGAGCCAGGGAGGAAGATGCGAAAGGACCAGGGATACGATCTGGGGTTAGGAGGAAGACTCTGACCCTGCAGAGGAGGTTCTGCTGTGTGGCCTGAGCACCGCCGGGGCTGCCCACAAGAGCCGTAATGATGTGGATGTGTCCTTGCAGCTTATTCAGCCAGGACACAGCTTCCTCCCACGTGGCAGTGCCTTGACATCATCTGCCTGCACCCCACACCACCTCCACCCTTGAGAGGACTCGAGTAGACAGAGTTAAAGGTCGCCTCAAAGATGCCTGCATCCCCGGAACTTGTAAATTATATGAGGTTATGTGGTGAAGGGGTGTTAAGATTGTAGATGGAATTAAAGCTGCTAATCAACTGATTTTCTTGTCTGGGCCCCTGTGTAATCTCATAGGTCCTTCAGAGTGGAAGAGAAGGGAGAGCAGTTAGTGGCGGGAGTGGCCTGCAATATGGGAAGGATGCAATCTGCTGCTGTTGGCTTTGCAGATGGAGGGAGGAGCCACAAGCCAAGGAACATGGGCAGCCCCCAGGAGCCGGAGAAGGCAAAGAAGTGAATGTAGCTCCACCCAAGCCTTGGTTGGAGTCAGTTCAGTAAGACCCACGGCAAAGTCAGACCCATGGAAGTGCACCATAGTATTAATTCTGTGTGCTTTAAGCCACTACATACGTTTTTTGATGATTTTTTTTTATAGTAGCCAAAGGAAACTAGCATGGGTGCAGCCAGGAGCTTTAAAAGCTCCCAAGGGTGATTCTAACATGTAGCAATAAAAGATGAGACCCAATAAGCTAGCAGAAAAACAAGATGAAAGGACATGTTGCTATGTTGTGTATGCTGTGGCTTCAGGTGGGAGGTTAGTGAGACCAACTGGTGCACTGTCAATTCCAAGCCATCGCCCACACAGTGTGGCCCACTGCCCCACATCACAGGCTGGCTTGCTTCACCAATCTGGGGGCCACTGCCTGTGCTAGCCTGACCCGTTCAACAGGCTACATTCCCCTAGGATAAAGAATCATCACACCACCCAAGAGGCAGACTCTCTGTAAAGTTTATGTTCAGCCAATGCTGCCTTACCAAAGAAGGAGGTGACCAATAGTGGTATTGCATGCAATTACGTCAACTGGGCCACTCACATGGGCAGCATCAGGAGGAGGACTCAACTGCGCCCTTCTGTGCTTAAAACTATTAAAAACCACGCCTGGGGTTGTGACAACAGAGGGTGTCTGCACTTGCTTTAGTAATCCATTTCTTGGTAACAGATAATGGACAAGATTTATTTACAGCAAATAAAATGGAATAGCATGGCACAGAAGGACACCTTCCCCTAAGGCAGGCGGTGCCTGTCCTGCAGGAGTTTCCCTCTGGGAGTGGGCACATAGCCACCCCCAGGCCATCAATGTTTGCTCATCAACAGAGATAAGTTTTCAGGACTGTCACTCAAAACTAAACCCTTACAACATTTTTGCTTCCTCCCTGTGCTTCCCCACCTCCCCACCCACCACCACACTCAGAGACTCTTTTTCCTCTGTCCACACTTGGTTTTGTTTAGGGAGGAAGTGGGGGTGATAGGAAAAGTAGTCACACTAGAAGATCTAAGTTAGGGGCTGGGCTCTGGCCCTCGGCCTCCCTGAGCAGTGGTCTCTTACAGCCGAAGGTGACAGTGTGCAGAGGCGAGAAAGGATGACAGCCGCTGTGCAGAGGTGCAACGGGATGATGGGATGATGGCTATAACGCTGCTGAGCACACAGCGTCCTGCAGAAACCGGCATCACAGAGATTCACCTGCCCCTACACAGTGTGGCCCGTCGCTCTAGGTACAAACTGCTCTGGGCTCTTCTCTCTGGTCCTCAACTCTCACTCGTCTCTGCTACCCGCATCTCCAACTGCTCACCCATCCCTTCCTCTCGGATCTCTCACCGCCATCACGATCGGACCTGTCCAGACTACACTGACGCTCTGCACTAGAACTGGGGACCCCTGGTAACTTTCCTGACTTTATCCCTAACAGTGAAAGCATCGTCAATCCCTTCAATCCATCCTTCCTCCTCCATTCCTGCTGCTGCCACATGTCTGCTGTCCCCTCACACGACACACCCGAGGCATGAGAGCCTTTCACATGATCTCTACATCTTATTCATTGATTTAAAAGACAGCGCACATGAGAGTGGACACGTGTACATGCACACACTCTTCTGCAGGTTTATTCCCCAAATGCCTGAAACAGTCAATGGAAGCAAAGCAAGGAGCCAGGAAAACATAGTCCAGGTCCCCCAAGCGAGTGGCAGGAGCCCCATCACTTGAGCCGTCACAGCCGCCTCCCAGGGTCCCCCTCTGCACAAAGTGGGCAGCAGCTGTCAGAGCCAGGAACTGGACCTCACACACTGCCCTGGGCCGCTGCAGTGCTACCCGCTAGGCCAGATGCCCACCTCCACATCTTAAGAGCAGATTCATCTTTTTTTTCCAAATGGATTAGGCACATCGAGCCCTGGATCTCGAGCTCCAGTGGCCTTGTCTGACCTGCAGCCTGGTTTTCGTGATTTGAGGAGGAGCAAACTCTGCCCGTGGGGAGATGACTTGAGCATTCTCCCCAGCCCCCCATCTCATTGCACCCTGTGGCTGGGTGCTGCACCGAGCACGGGGCATCCCCACCACATAGAAGGAAAGTTCTTGGGGGTTAATGGATTAGAAAGGCAAGTATTTCTGAAACCAGTGACTGAGAACTGGAAATGGTCTTTATCAAATGTCTTCCCACAATATTTAATAACCACAATTTAAATCTGTCACAGCAAACCACTGACATTAAACTGTTCCGTGCGGCGTGGGATGTTAAATCATTCAACACATACTCGAGACTTTAACATTTGCACTCAAACAACAAAACTAGTCAATTTCAGACTCGGCTCTTACCGTTCTGTTCATCCAATTCATTGCCAATTTCCTGCCCCATTTGTTTCTGGCGACTTATGATGGAGGCAAGGGCATCAAGGCCTGCATCCTGTTCTGGAAGACAAACAAAACCACAATCACTAAAAAGCACGAGAAAGCAAAGTCCGAAGATACACACCAGCACATACTACTGTTCAATGTGCGATGCAGCTAATTTTATAGAACAGTCAGGACATGAGACACGAAAGAGTTCACACCAATGGAAAAAATAAAATGATTTCCAAAAGAATGAAGGCTTTTTTTAAATATATTTTTTAATTTTTGAATTTTATGGTACAATTCCATAGGGGCTTGGATCTTCCTAACCCTTCCCCAAATTCCCAAACCCCCTGCCTGCCTGATTTTCCCCAGATTATCACAATAGTGCAGTCCTTCATAAGCAGTCGTAAGTCCATCAGTCTGTTATTTAAGTGTGCCCTGACATTGCTGGTGCAGACAATGGCAGGCAGTCCAGCCTCCTATTGTCTAGATATGTCCAACAGTTTCATGGGAGTCCATCTTTGATTTGGAAGTAGAGGTGCATACTGCATTGTATCTTCACGTCTGGATATGATAGTCTCTGTTACGCCATCACTGTACATTCCCTTACATGAGAAGCCACGAAACAAAACCAATAACAGGAAATATTTCTTTAATATTTGTTGACAGAAAATATTTTTAGCAAAATATTTACAGCACCATGGAGTCAAAAAACACACCACTGAATAATCAACACATCGATGAAATGAAAAAGAAAACACAAAAACCTCTTGGGTAAAATGATGCCATTGTGCGATCCATGAGCCAATGAAGAATTTGACAAGAGTAAAGAAGCCATTTGAAAGAAATGAAAATAAAAACAAAAACATCGAAACACATAGGATGCAGCAAAAACAGTATGGAAAGTGTTACTGATCTTACAATCTCAATGAAGGCTGCCTTGTATCAGAGAGAATATATGGTATTTGTCCTTTTGGGATTAACTTATTTCCCTGAGCATAATGGTCTCTAGTTGGGACCATCTAGTCGCAAATAGCATAATTTCATTCTTTTTAATGGCTGAGAAGTGTACCATGGAGTAGACGTACCACAATTTCTTTAACCACTCCTTTTAAGAGGAGTGAAAGTATTTTTTTCTGAAAATTTATTTTTATCTGAAAGCTGGATGTTTACAGAAAAAGAAGCAGAAACAGAGAGAGGTCGTTCATCCACTGGTTCATTCCCCAAATGGTCACAATGGCCAATGCTTAGCCAATCCAAAGGCAGAAATTGGGAGTCAGGAGCCAGAAACTGGCTCTCCCATGCAGTACAGGGGCCCAGGGACCTGGGGCATACTCCACTGCTTTCCTAGGCCATAAGCATGAAGACGAATTGGAAGTGGAGTAGCGGATATGAACCGGCTTCCCATAAGGTATGCAGCTATGGTAGGCAGAGGATCAACCCACTATGCCACTAGGCCAACCCTAGAAGAATGAAGTTAAATATGAAACGTGAAATAGAATTTGACTAAGTAAACTTCTGAGTTTTTAATGCAAGCCAATAAGAAAGACTTACTATTTGCATTTTTAAAAAATTTTTACTTTTTTGGCAGGCAGAGTGACAGAGAGGAACAGAGGTTTCATGTGCTGGTTCACTCCACAGATTGCTGTAACAGCCAGGGCTGGGCCAGCTGAAAGACAGAAACTCTATCCTGGTCGCCAGCACCAGTGCTAGGGGTCCAAGTATTTGGCCCATCCTCCTCTGCTTTCCCAGTGTGAATTAGTAGGAAGCTGTACTCTGAGATGCTAGCATCTTATCTTAATGAGCCACAACACCAATGCTCTAATTCTTTTTAATGGCAAAGGATATAGACATGAAATTTATAAAAGAATTTTAACAGAGGGAAAATAAATGAAAATTTGATAACTACTAATTTTTAAACAAGATAAAAAGTGGTGGTTTTTGGTTTTTTTTTTTTTTTTTTTTGCTTCTTTTTTGAAGGTAATGGCTCTGCAAAGATTAAAAAGACACATAATATTGACTGAAGAGGGGCTGGCAGTATGGCGTAGTAGGTTAAGCCACCGCCTGCAGCACTAGCACTCCATTTGGGCACCTGTTCAAGTCTCAGCTGTTCCACTTCTGATCCAGCTCCCTGCTGCGGCACCTGGGAAAGAATCAGAGAATGGCTCAAGTGCTTGGGTCTCTGTACCCACATGGGAGACCCAAGAGAAATTCCTAGATTCTGGCTTTGGCCTAGCCCAGCCTCAGGCGTTGTGGCCATTTGGGAAGTGAACCAGTGGACAGATCTCTCTCTCTCTTCCTTTTTGTCTTTCCTTCTCTCTCTCTGTAACTTTGCCTTTCCAATTAAAAAAATATGTATCTTTTTTAAAGGTATATTTAATTTTTTTAACTGAAAAGGCAGAATTACAGAGAGGGAGAAGGAGAGACATAATGATCTTCTATCCACTGATTCCCTCCCCACGTGGCCACAATGACCAGAGCTGAGCCCGTCTGAAGCCAGGAACCAGGAGTTTTTTCCGGGTCTCCCACGCACGTGCAGTGGGAGACTTTAGACCATCCTCTACTGTTTTCTCAGGCCCCAAGCTGGGAGCTGGATGTGAAGTGAAGCAGTTGGGACATGAACCAATGCCCATGTGGGATCCAGCACCTGCAAGGGAAGGTTTAGTCAACTGAGCCATCACTCAACTTTATGTGAGTGAAGAGCCAGAAGCTCCCAAGTACTGTACCACAGAATAAGGTCGATTCACGCACTGAAATCCATCTCCAGAACAGACTGCACACCTATCTGTCAGTGCTAAGTCCTTGAGCAATGGCTGCAAGGAAGTCAGGTAGTGTACAACGTAGTCACGAGGCCAGTCCTTGCCCTCAGCTCCAAATCTGCCCATTAGATTGCTCCGTGAAGATGGATCTGCAGCCCTTAAACCCTTAAACACATAGGTATTTTATTTTTGTTTGCCAAAGCTCTTTGTTGCTTTGTGTCCACTTCAGTCTACAGCTTGGTCAATGTCCAGCAACGGTGCATAATGGTCAGCGACTTGTCCTGACACAGCCCCTCCTGGGGCAGCTCCCTGACCAGAGAAACCCCGCTGAGATGCTTGTCCATAAACAGCTCTGCCTGGAACCGGAGGCGGCAGGTTTCCAGCAAGTTCAGCCGGTGCAGGGCCTCGGGCGTGTATCTCAAATCCAGAAAGCTCAGCTGGGCCTGCTCTCAGCCTGAGAGAGCCAGCAGTGACACCTCAGACCTGCCGTGGCTGTCTTCTTTAACGGTTCTCTTCCCATCTGTTAATTCCCTCTGACTCTAATCCCCTGGTATACTTAATCATTCTTACAGTAAACTTTCCCTCTCAAATTTCTCTTTCCTGGTGGGACTTGGAGTGACAAATTTATAATCGTGAAAAATGAAAAACTAGCTAACTGCCTGGACACAGGGATTTGTTTGAAAATTTATAGTTTATCCATATAGTAAACATTAAAAATCACATCATCCGCATATGTACTGATGTAGAAAAGTTCAAGATACATTAAGCAGAGGAGGGAAAATGGACAAAAGACATTATATAATAAGCTAGTTGGAGGGTATTTCAAAAAGTCAGTGGAAAGTGAACTAAAACATAAGTTCAGAGCTGATGCGATGGCTCAAGTGGCAAAGCTTCTAACTCCAAGTCCTGGCATCCCATATTGGCACTGGTTTATGACCTGGCTGCTCACCTCCCATCCAGCTCTCTGCTTGTGGCCTAGGAAAGCAGCAGAGGCTGGTCCAAAGCCTTGGGACTCTGCACCCAGTGGGGGACCTGGAAGAGGCTCCTGGCTCCTGGCTTCAGATCAGCTCAGTTCAACCATTGTGGCCATTTGGGAAATAAACCAGTGGATGCAAGATATTACAGTCTCTCCTTCTTTCTGGTAATCTGCCTTTCCAATTAGAAATAAATCTTAAAGATAAGTTGAACTGGTGCAAAAATTTTCTGAAACCCGTGCATATAATGGGTATTCAAAAAGTTCATAGGAAATGTATATTATGAAAAAAATACATGGACTTCAATGTTTTGCACTAAAATAAACATTTCATAATCTTCAAAAAAATTTTGAAGTATACTCAATCTGGCTTTTTTTAAAAAAAGTGACCTGTGACTATTTTAAAATGTACTGTTTGATGAAAGTGACATTCTTTCATTTGATCAGTTTGTAGTTTGTGTCTGTATTTCTGATCTGCAGTGTTTTTACTTTTTATTTGTTAAGCTCTATTTAGTGAGGCATTAAACCTTTGACTGTATTGTAAACCTCAAAATGCTATGTCAAAACAAAAATAAATAAATAATGAAACGGGTGCAATATTCTCGGCTTTGGAAAATTTAAAGAGATTAACTGAGATAAAATCAAGTTACTCGAGATTCATTATTTAAAGTTTCATTCTTGTTGTTGTTGCTGTTTAATTAGGCAGTCTCAATGATCTCTTTTGATAAAAGATTGATTTAAAAGGCAGAGAGACAGAAAGATCTTCCATCTGCCGGTTCATTCTCCCCAAATCCCCTAACAGCCAGGGCTGGACTGGGTGCCAGAAATTCAGTCTGGATCTCTCACACGGGTGGCAGGGCCCCAGCTACACGAGCCATCACTTGCTGCCCCCGGGATGGACTTGAGCAGGAAGAAGTGGAAGCAGAACTCAATTCCAAGCAAGCCAACACAGAACGCAGGCATCCGAGGCAGTGTCTTAACCCGCTGTGTCATGAGGGTTGCTCTGCCGTGGCCCCTTCGGAAGAGCTTTGCTACTTTGCTCAGGTGCACTGAGAAGATGCTCTGAGGCTGACTCTCAAGAGACTGTTTTATTCAAGCAACAGGCCAAGCAATATTCCAGATGAAGGTAACATTATACCAGCAGCAGCTTCCTTTGTTTCTGGGATTTTTAAACTACTGTCTTACAGAAAAACATATCTGGGAAAGCAGAAAATACAAACTTCTTAACTCATAATCGCATTAATATTTACTTGGGTTCCCCCCACAACAAGTCTGTTCTAGGGACCATTCCAGGGAACCATTTTATGGCAAAACCACCATCGGAAGAGGTGTCCTTTGGTCTT